AATAGCAAGTGTGGCACCGCATAAACCTACTATTAACTTCTTGTAGGAGGGGCAGACTGAGTGCAGCTGACCGAAAACAGACTGCCTGCTTGGGATCAGACAAGAGGAACACACCGCTGAAACCATGTAACTACGGAGCTTGAATGTCCAACGTCCAACGTAAAACTAACTTTACCGTGGTATGGCCATCAGAGCACTAACGATCAATTGTTAGGTTGATGGACCTCAGATTTACTGTGAACAGCTAGTTCTGGCTGTCAACAACAAACTGGTTGATCCACTATGACAGTGCTTCTCAATTATTTTCTGTTATGTCCCCCTCGGGAATAAGTAAACATTTCGCGACCCCCCCCCCCCCACCACCACCACCAACTCTCCACGGCAACTGTAAATAGTATGTCTATAAAACTGTTATAAGTACACCTCTGCCTAACATTGTGTCCTTATTAACATTAAAGAAAAAATAATAATATAGATCAACTTACAAGGAAGAATACCTTTATTAACGTTGTTTTTTTAGTCAGTAACAAAAACAACTTACAGTGCATCAATTTGCTTGAAAAAAAAATCATTTTTTAAACTGTAAACATTTTGGACCATTTGATACTGAAAAATAAAATTAAATATAATCATCCATCCATCCATTATCTTTACCCGCTTATTCCATTTTGGGTCACTGGGGTCGCTGGTGCCCATGTCCAACAATCACTGTGCGAGGGGCGGGGTACACCCTGGACGGGTCGCAAGTCCATCACAGGGCCACATAGAGACAAACGAGACTAACAACCATTCACTCTCACTCACATCTAGGGACAATTTTAGAGTTACCAATCAGCTTAACATGCATGTTTTTGGTCTGTGGGAGGAAACCGGAGTACCCGGAGAAAACCCACGCATGCACAGAGAGAACATGCAAACTCCACCCAGAAAGGTCCCTGGACCGGGGTTTGAACCAAGGACCTGCTCGCAGGAGCTCTACCAGTTGCGCCACCGTGCTGCCCCTTAAATATAAGCAATAAATAATAAATTCAAATTGATCAGCAACATTTTAACTCAGAAGTGTTATATAACCCTACCCATATCCTTTCAGTTCTACGCCGACGACTGTCAAATTTACTTTCCCCTTAGACACAATGGCACATGCTCTATTCAACCTCTGCTCGACTGCCTGGCTGACATCAGGGACTGGATGGCTTTAAACTTCTTAAGTTTCAATGAAAAGAAGTCTGAAGTCATGTTGTTCCCTCCCAACGACACGATCACAAACCACTGCATCGACGTTTCCACTCTAACCCTGTCAGAAAAACAAAGAGTCACTAATCTGGGCGTGATAATGGACCCTTCCCTGAAACTTAACAATCATCTAAACATGATTGTTGAATCATGTTTCTTCCAACTGAGGCGGCTGTCTAAACTGAAGCCCATATTGTCCAAAAATAACCTGGAGACAGTAATACATGCATTCATTACATCTAGGCTTGATTACTGCAATTCGCTCCTGTTTGGTATCAGTCACACTTCCATTGCACGACTACAAGTGGTCCAGAATGCAGCAGCCCAATTTTTAACCAGTACAGGCAAAAGCGAGCACATTACACCAGTTTTGGCCTCACTGCACTGGTTACCGGTTCACCTTCAAATCCAGTTCAAAATACTCATGTATGTCTACAAATCACTGAACAGTTTTGCCCCCACCCCCCACCCCCCACCCCATCTCTCTGATCTGCTACAGCCGTATGTCCCACCACGTTCCCTGAGGTCAGTGGACCAGTTGCTCCTCACAGTTCCAGGAACTCGTCTTAAGCGCAGAGGTGACAGGGCCTTCTCTGTAGCCGGACCAAGACTTTGGAACGAGTTGCCTCTGCTTGTCAGACTGGCCCCCTCCCTCTCGGTTTTCACGTCCCATTTAAAAACCCACTACTATTCAGTAGCTTTCAACACCAGATGATTTGGGTTTTTAACCTGTATGCTCCACACTGGTTAGTTGTCATATTTGTTATCTGCATCGTTTTTATGTCTATAATCTGATTGACCTCATTTTGTATATTGCTTTGTGTGTTGTCTGTTTTTCTGTCTGTACAGCACTTTGGTTGGCCTTGTCGCTGTTTTAAGTGCTCTATAAGTAAAATGGTATGGTATGGTATATAAAACACTTTGACCTACAAAACAAAAATGAATAAAACAATTTATGCTGATTTTTTTTTTTTATCAAAATGAGGAAGTCATGGTCTATGAGCACACTCTTCTATTAAAAAAAAGTCAACATGAAAGAGGAAAGAGGGAGCAGGTAACAAGGTGACAAGCGTCCAGAGAATCATAAAAACAGCAGCTTAACTGAGGAGGTGAATATATTTTGTTAGCAAAGAATAGAGTCCTAACATTTATTAAACATTACTTCTGTAAATTGTGCTTTGACAAACTTATCGATAAAACTAAAATATTTTGTCAACGCAAAAGAGGAAAGGGGGGCAGGTGTCGCTCTCGCTTGAGTTTACTCTTTGTTGCATGCGTGCTGTGAGTGACGTCACAGCAGCGGAGGACGGAGGAGGTGACGGGCTATGGCAGAACACAGATGGTT